ATTGAAAACAAACACGTCATTGAACAGATTTCACTGCACTCATCAACTTGACAACTTGCCCGCACAATATGTCAGTCACGTGAAAATACACATGATATTAACGTTGCAATATTGACCAATCAACGCCAAGGTTTTCCTGGTAGTTGAATATATTAGTGTAGTATGATAATTACGCTCCGGTTAGCGGTTGTTGCATTGGCATATATGCATAATGTACATCGTACAGTGGCACCGCGCCGTATGTTGGGCCATAGCCGGGAGATCGGGAAGGGCTGCGCGCTGGGGTATGGTGTATCAGATGACCCGCCTGTGTACGTACATACGAACACAACAACGATAACCATAAAAAGACGTGTATTATTTTCGCCGCGACTAGACGTTTGTTGAATGGTGTTTGTATGCACAGATCCTCTACACAATATCTGTGATGTATGATTGTCATGACGGGACATGCAGAGGTAAAATACAAACATGACAAAATGGCATGTGGCCGAGTTGGCCGCGACGTGTGTATTTTCTGAAGGGGCATTGCGGCCAAGTTGGAAGGGCATGCGGTCATTGGCCGTAGTGGCCGCTGTAAAGATCGAGGCCTGATAGTGATGACTTTTTGGTTATGCACCCAGCAACTTCTTGTATTTCTTGCCCTGTTTCTTCGTCGGTTCGTTCTGTTACTTTCACACTTGCATATTGAGCTAGATAGCCCTATGAACAAGAACAATACAAGCACTATCAAACTAATCCTAGCGCAAGTGCGTTTGTGAGGGGAGATTCTAGAAATACCTAACTTACGCAACAACAGCTTGATTCCATGTGACTTAGTGCGCGTTACATAATCGCCAACATGACATGACAATCTGTCTATAGGCATCGCAATTTGGGCTTCTCAATGCACGCTGCCTAGCAAGGGCTTCCATAAACCACCTTGAACATCTATCCTGTATAACCACACACCTGAGACTACCGGCTTTTCTCAATTTGTTTTTTTCATTTCCCGGACGAGCCCCCATTTGTCACATTCCCTGGTTTGCTCCTCCCCAAGAAATATAACCCTCAGTAGTCTGGTACACCGTCACACAAAATAAATTGTCGAGTAAATTGACAATTTATTTTGTGTGACAATTTATTTTGTGTGACGGGTGTACCAGACTTCTGAGGGTCATATTTCTTGGGGGGGGGGGGCAAACCAGGGAATGTGACACTGACAGTTGGTTGCAATCTGTTCTGGTCCTGCACATTACTAATGACACAGGAAGTATTGACAATTCCCTACTTTAAAGTAAAATACGTTTCTATTCCTGATAATATGCTGTGAATGTTTCTCGTTACCAGTAAGGTGTTTCATGGTAATATGCGCCAATCACAAGATGAAAATCAAATTAAGTTTCGCCCTTCTCCGACGTATATACACTGTTTACTCAGTGTGTTAAGGGCCTGTCACATTATATGCGATCTCATAGGAGACCTTACGGCGACCAAAAATATTTCATAAATTTATGCGAGGACATAAAGAAAATGCAGCCAGGACACAAGAAAATGACAGCTTTCTGTATCAAAGATTGATATTATTGATAAGTCTGAAGTCTGAAGGCAAAGTATAAGTTGTCCCCAGAGTATAAATAATTGCAGCTGAAACGTTGAGTGAGTTCAGAATGAAAAAAAATGGCAGTATTGATGATAACCATACAGAGGACCTTGCCTGCTCGCTTGGGACAATTTGGCAACTGTGCTGATTGCTTGCACACTTTAACTACTACAAAGATGTACAAAGCAAGAGTGGCTACCAAACAGGTAGTGTTGGTAACGAAATTAATCCAAAAAATGATGTCTTTAAAGACAGTCTCTGGCAAGAATATCGGAATCACACCAACAATAATTGTTGGCACCCAGAGTCCTGCTGATATCTTTGCTGCTCGAGATTTAGAGGCTTTTTCCTTGAATGTCAGAGGATTACGCACTGCAGAGAATCCCTCAGCTGCTATGATCTCTACAAAATACATGTAACTAGAAACAATAACAAATATGTAATTGAATCCCAGGACATACCCTTATTTTGTTTTACCGTTTTGGATTTCCTCAAAAACAAAAACCGTGAACGAACAGTTTACAGTTTTGTAAAACGGTCAAACGGTATTAAGTCGACACACAAAAAATACTTTTTGTTGTTGTTTTTAATTGTAGAAAGCGTTAAACGGTTAGTTGCTTTATTTTTAGAGTGTTGTTTTACAAAATCATGACAATGACAAAACGGTCAATAGTCTTGCCGACCATTTTTTTGGATTTAGGTTTGGCAATTAAGCAATGCTCCAAGGAATGTTAATGCGTCCTTGGGATCGAGTCATTGCCTGTGCCCTCCTTACATTTTCGTTCTCACGACAGAATTTGCGAATTAGCTATTGAAGAGCCGCGTCGACTTAAACTCCAATTTCCTTCAAAATATCTGCAACTTCATCTAACGTCTTACCATCCTGTATCCATTGTGAAAAGTAATGCCCTCCCTTGCAGTTTTCCAGCGCCATTTTTGCTTGCAACTCTTTAAGCCCCACCAACTGAATCACATGAGAAGGGGTCAGGGTCCGCGCCAGGAATCACACCACGCATTAATTATGGCGAGCCAACACTCGTGTAAAGCAGGGTCCCCCTCCACCCCCTTGCCCACCGCCACAAAATGCACCACGGACTGTTAACTATGACACTAAAATAAAAAAAACAGTGTGTATTCAATACTGACCGTTTTGCTGTTTTTCAAAGTTATTTGTGTAAAACTGTAAAACAAAAATAATGGATCGTTGTGCTATAATGACTTTTCCTAAACTTATAAAACGGATAAACCATATTTATGTTAATACTGTTTGTCGTTTTATAAAACTGTAAACGACAAAACGGTCAATGGTTCGTTTACTGTTTTTGTTTTTGAGGAAATCCAAAACGGTAAAACGAAATAACAGTATGTCCCAGGATTTATTTGACACTCTGGAATGCTTTGTACACTTCGGATGAACACAATACAAATATACATTGAGTCATAAGGAAGAGCAAGTCAGCCACGGCCAGATTGGATAAGTAGATGTTGATGATTGTACGCATTGACTTCACTCGAATGACTGTGAAGAGAAAGACAAAGTTTAAGAGGAGGCCGATTGGTGCATTGATTTCAGTAATTAACCATGGTATTTGTTAATTTCTTTTATGAGTCTTGATAAAGTTCTCAAGGTGCTTTTCAACTTCATCGTTCTCCATATCCAACATTTGATTCAGATGTAGCAAAGAGTGTTCTGTCCTATTTCAAGATCACTCCAGTTTTATACTAACAGCGAATATAAGACATGGAGCAATGTGTAATTGAAATAAAAAGCTTCTGCATTTTTTCCCCTTAGTGTTTCTTTATCTCTAAGATTTGTAAGGATAAGTTCTTTGTTCCTTGTTTTGAATGCATACTAAACCAAAGTTGACATTAGAGTTTCACAGTTGACTTTGGCATACTTTTTTACATGTTCATTGTGTAATCCGTCACTAAGGTTTTGCTCAAATCTAAGTTATGCCCAAAAAAAGAGTTTTTTTTTCAATGAAAGATGATGTCTCAAAACCGCCAAACTCAACGGTTTGACTGGAATCCTGCTGCTGCACAATTTTAACGTGTTTTTAGATGGGGTTATGGTCGAGAAAAAGCTTTATGTGGCCTCTCTGGACTCCCATACATTTGCACTAAGTTTTATAGTCGGGCACCATTTGCAGTCATCAGCCGACATTTGAAGCAACAAACCAGGTAAAAATAATAATAAAATAGCCGCGTCGCCACACCACTTTTTGGGCAAGCTCCATACCAGAAACCGGAGACTTTTTTTTTGGCCTTTCTTTAAAAAAGGTGAAATGGCACTCTGCACTTTTTACATGTAGAGTTTTGCAGCTCATAAAAGATCACAGACATAACGTAACACTTGAATTATCTGTAACTGAATAAAATTAGATGCAGATCAAAAAATGACACAAAATCTTTCAGGTCGTTCACTACATTTTGCTTACAACATATTTATTTATATCTCACATATAGAAACTTGACACAAGCTTTAGATTTGGTGTTTGGATAATCAAGAAAGACATTTAAAATACAGATACAACTGCATCAACAAAGATTTGAAACCATGGAATTCCTACACTGTCTTGCTTGAAATTGAAAGTGTACTTAGATTTCTGCTATCAAATGTTATACTAAGAAATTACCCATGATTGGCTCCCGTCCGTACATTATTGATACTGATTGTGGTGGGGGGGGGGGGGGACCAGCCTACCCAGCAAGAACAGAAATTATGTTTGGCAGCCAATAATTTGGAATTGTAAAGTAATAATTCAATAACTGAACGTGAGCTTTTTTGTGTTTGGTGTTTCATTCAAAAGTGAATAACTTTTGTATTGCTTGAAAAATAGCAGATTGGTAAAGAAATCTGTTTTTCGGGATGAAACTCGAAAATAGCACGGAACTTTAAGTAAATTCAGTACCTCATCTGGCATTTGTTGAGCAAAACTGTTATGTGGACAGTTTTCCTTGTTTTTTTTCCTAGAAGGTACCGTACAGCATTAAAGGTTGCATATGTCTGTGTAGAGTGTGTGTGCGATTTACAGTTTCAGATGATTCTTATTTTATCTGATAAACTGTCTAAGTTGAACACATTACCCTCATTGTTTCAAGCTTAAACTTTAATTTGCAATGCACCACCAGAACTATGAACTGAAGTAAGGAGAATGGTTGTATGTAGAAAGATGACAAGTTCCACACACAATCCATTACCCTTTGGAGATACGGTGGACACAATACGAGGGCGCTATTTGGTTTGGGTCTAGTCTTTTGCATAATCTAGCCCAATATACCCAAATCAAATAACACCCTTGTATTGTGTCTGCCATATATCGCAAAAGGATAGCAGTTGAGCTATTCACTTTTTCCAATATTTGTTAAGACTCTGGAAAAACTGAATGTGCTTTTCACATCTTTTTCCAATCTACAGGTTCAACAACATGCTGACTCCACTGTGGAACCAGCTGTATGAGGACCAGCTATCCACCAAATAGACCAACACCAGGGAGTTTCTGAGGAATTTATCCAAGATGCTGCAACGGAACATTGGGGAGATGTCTCCCTGGCTGAAGCAACAAAGGTGAGCTACTCACCAAAGACACGGGATGGTTGTGGGCCAGAATGGAAATGTGATCTTTGTTGACAAAAAAACTGTTTCCAGACACAGTTTTCTGGCAAGTGGACTTACATGTACATGATGTACATGTACAGCTGCCCTGAAATTTCATTTAAAAGTCCAGAAAATGATGCCTCATTTTTCTTGAGAATCAATTAAAACTCAGCAAGCTTTGGGCCAACTTCTGAAATAAACTTCCTTTCCACATACAAAAGTCCCAAAGATTAAAAGGGGGGGGGGAGTTGGTAAAAAAATGTTTACAAACAAAAAGCAGAAAAATGAACACAAAACCAAAACTTCACAATTCATAAGCTGCTCGAATGAGACTCGCACCAACAATCTCCTGCTTCCTAGTGCAAATGTCTCAGGTACTTGACCATCAGACTTGCTGGGGTTGGCTGGCTGGTCCCAATCTGATACAGCAGGTTGTTACAACTGATAATGTAGTAACCAACGGATAATGTATCACCAACTGATAATGTCACACAAATTGACCGATACTGTATCACTAACCGATAATGTAACAGAAATTGACCGATAGTGTAGTAAAAATGTACACACTATCAGTCCATTGTTGTTACATTATCCGTTTTAATTGATAATGTAACAAATATTAACCGATAGTGTAGTAACATTTACTACACTATCGGGCAATTTCACTATCAGTCATTATCAGTTGTAACACAGGTACTACAACCAATGAGTTTAATTAATTGTTTACCTAGGGGAGTTGTGAATGTGAATACCTGGTTTTGACCTTCACCAATGTAAATTTGAATGCACTGTATATTAGTGCTGTCTGAAAGCTTACGAGCAAAGATTCTGCAAGCTTGCTTGGGTGAGATATGAACCCATGACCTCCTGCTTACTAGTGCAGACATCTTAACCACTCAATAACAGAGCTTGCAAAGATTAGTGGGCCAGTTTGAATCTTGTGCATATATAGCTGTGGTTACCACAAGAAATTTACAAGCCTGTTGGAGTGGGATTCGAACCCACACCCTCATGTTGAATAGTGCACTCTTCATTTGATTGACAGGAAGAACCACAGTAGGATGGCATGTGAGTTGGAACCAATTAAGCCATCGGTGAGTAAGCTAGGTGACAAATATTTGTTGATAAAAATATAGATTTTATTTAAATTTATTTGTAGTATTGTGAATGATTTTATGAATTATAATCTCAATGATAGTTCACATTGGCACATAGTGTTAGGTTAATAGCTTGACTGGTGTGATCTTTGAACTCGGGTAGATAGATAGAGTCACCTTACTTGTACTAAATTTATATTTCAACCTGGATTTCTTGTTAGATAAACTATACAGCATGTGAATCTTTTGTGGGGTAAATATTCCTGACATTGGAGATGTCTGATTTGTTCCTTTCATTTTCATTGTTTGTTTGCACAATCACAGCCAGTATTAGAGAGTTATCGCAACAAGTGTGAGTTTACCATCGGCAAGAGTGTAGATGGCATCGGTGAGTGAAACTGGAATTTATATGCAATCTCTTCATTTTGTGTGTGTAGCACTCCGTTCACAAGTACCCCCTCGCCTGGATATAAAGTGTGCACACATGTACTTAATGCACCTGTTATGAAAGCTGAACAGAAAGTTCCAGGATTTTTTCTCAGTTGTTCCCCAAATTTTTTTTGTCAGGTCTGCATGAAAATTGGCCCTGGATAAATTGTGCAATAGTTTCAGTATCATGTCTTCTTATTTTCATTGACAGATAACACTGTTGGTTTCTGGCTTGGCGCTTCCTCTGAAGTTCCATTTTGGTAAAAGACGTAGATCAGCTTTTATGTTTGATTGGTTTGGCTGTCAAGGGGCGTGGCCTATTAGTAGTTAATGCTGATCAATTCCAACCAATCAGAATGCAGCACACAGAAAGATTGACAGGTGTACATATTGTGCATTGTCTATTATGTCTGTCAGGAATTAAAGGGAAAATACAACATTTGCAAACATCAAAAAATAAAACTACCAAATCATTTTGAAATACCTTGCTGGACTGTTAGTGAATGACAGTGTAAAGCATCCTGTAAAATCATGGCACCTAGTATACTGTCATTTTCAAGAAAAGTGGTATTTTTGTATCCATTTCCAACGCTGATCGGCCGATCAGCGTTGGAAAAAACTGGCTTTTTTTCAAATACTGGCCCCAGTTGACCATCACACTTGTTTGCAATCGATTACAAACCTATGAACGGGTACAAGCCAGCTAGACTGGTTCCCTGACCTTACAATTCCCCAATATATTTAAACTGCTCTGTTTCTTCTTAAATGGAGTCAGGGAACCAGGCTACAGGAAAATGATTGTTTTTCTTGGTTTTTATAGCATTTTCGAACCCAAAACCTCAAAAAAGTCAGTGTAACTAGATTTGCTATATATTTCCTACCCCCCAATTCCATCCATTTCTGAAAATTACAGCAAAAGCAAATGATGTATATTCCCTTTAATTATTGAAAAGAAAGAAACAAGCCACAAAAGACTTAAACCCTTGTCATCCCCTTTGCTGACCAATATGTTGTCTTACTTTTCTGGCATGAATATTGAGGGTATATGTTTGTAATTCCAACATTGTCCAACAAGCTCTTTTACTCAGTATGGATTTTTCAACAATTACTTTTGTACAAGCAAGAATTAGGTTTTAAATAAAAAAAATTCAGAAAAATCACTGTTTGTTTAAATGTTGCTAGTGTACACTTTTATTTATCTTATCACTGATCTTGCTTTTACACGAAAATTTGTTTGCCCTATAAAAAGTTTGTGACATTTAGAAACATGGTTTGCCCTGCAATTTTTTTTAAGTATTACTAGGTATCAGAAAGACGTAAGAGCTCAAACACTGATTTGGTGATTGTACATTTCTGTATTATTTGTGTTTAGAGTTTTAAATTACACAAGGAAATTGCAGCTTTGATGAACATATAAAAAGCAGCAATTCCTTGGATACTGTGCAAATTAAGATACATCTTGTACGATGCTAACTTTACAACGACATTCATATTTTACAGCATTGATTTTTCAATTACCCACATTTGAAGTACCTTTGAGTCCATCTAAAAGAAATATTAGAATATTGCTTTGCATTTAAACATCATACAAACATGGAGCTCATAATGTAATACAACAGACTAGTGGTGCTACACAGATTATATGTACAATAATAGAGCATGCAAGTCTCGCCAGTTCACATTCACTTTTCATGTGAACATCTTGGTACCAAACACTGACTAGTCTAGCCACAGACTCCCGTGTTTGAATTCACCCAATTCACCCAATGAACGGAAGTGGAGGTCAACATTTTTTCAATTTACTAAAGTAATCAACTTGCAATATTTTTTTAATGTGTTGTAAATTGGAAAGATTTTTTTCTTGTTCAGAACCCATTCTTTGCCCTTGACTGGATAAACCTAGTAAAATCACTGAGGTTTTTGAGGTCAACTTGCACGCTCTATTGACAGAAGTGGAGTACAAATTGCTGACTTCAACTATCAACTACATTTTTTCCCAGATAGTAGCTGTGAAGACACCTTTAATACACCAGACTTAAATCCCATACTGTACATCTAAAGCCTACAATGGCCTGTGCTCTGCAGCAAAACATCTATTCAATTGGATTTCTCCTTGCTAAAGATAGAATTCAAGAAAGTTTGAACAAAAATTCTGCACTTCATTTGGTCTGCAAAAAGTATTTTCCACGTTGTGCTACATGTACATGTATGCACAAAGATTGGTGTAATGTATTTGGAATCAGATGCTCTTAATGCATAACTTGCAACTTTGTTGATCTGTTACTTAGGCTGTGTCTGAAACGGGCTTCTAGAGCTATGAAGACCTAGACAATATAGCTCTAGCCGTATCAATTTTTTTAATCTGTTCATTTGTCTATCAGGTCTTGACCCACAAGATAACCATTCCACCAGCACCTCTGACGTACCGATGACTGGTGCTGCCATAACGGATCCTTATCACTATCTGACACAACAGCACTTCACCTCAGAGATCTTCAAGATTGAGATCCAAAACCTCCCAAGACATTTTGGATTGGCGGTGAGTTTGCTCCTTAAACATTCAACCCTCGATTATGATAAACAAACAGCAACTGAATTAAAGGGCCATGGAATGAATTTGAAAATGAAACATGAAAATAATCATATATGAAAGTAATGGTAAACAGCTCCACACTTGGTATCTTTTTGATGCGCACTTTTTGCAATGCCTGTGCACTTGCACAATTGTTTCTAATGTAGCTGTGATGTCGATTTAGGTATTTTACTCTTAACATCTTTGGAATTTTCTTTGTAATTTTTGAACCTAAAATTTATACATGCAGAGATATCAGTTTGTGCATATATTAAAGTATGTCATTGACTACATGTACCTGCTAAATAATGAACAAATCAGTGACATCAACCGCAACCAAAGCACTTTGTAACTTTTTGTCCTCTAACAGCAGTTACACTGAAGTTCCATCTCATGACATGTCTGTATTGCTCAGGAATATGCAACTTGGCACTGTCATAACAATATTTAAAACCTGAAACATCCTCAGACATAGATTATGGAGGTGCATTTCCTGAAATAAAAACCACAAAATCTGTTTCAAAAGCACTTAAAAAGTATATTTACAGTGGAAAATGCCACGCCATATGTTAATACATGTAGTGGCAATACATGTATATATTCACACAGAAAAAAAAGAAGAAACTTGCTCATTAAACATGCAACCATGTACACAAAACCTCATTCAACTAACAATTACAATAATTTCTGAACCACTTGCACATCCATTGAATGAGTTCCCAGCTGTTCCCTTTACTGATAGTTGGTTGCGATCTACTCTGGGCCTGCACATTACTGATGTCATGATTTGTACATGTATTGGCAATCTCGAAAGGAATTTTCATTTTCAATGCAGCATATACATTGTATATTATACTGTTCATGTTTCTTGACATCAAATGTACTTGGTATTCCACTGAAGAAGGTGCATGAAAAAGAGAAGCCTTCAAACCACTCTACAGTTTGAACTCTACACAGCTAGTTCAAGGCACACTGACTGTGCATACTGCCCAATTTACACGGATGATTTCCACTCATCAGTTACCAGAGAACATTGTTCTTGACAACTTTCAAATGGTGGACTCCCTTCTGGTTCTGGATGTGCATACTGCTGCCCTTGTGCTGATGGCTCGGTGCCAGTCAGCCCAGGACATTGTTCCTGAGTACTTGCAAGTGACTGCTGGCTCTCTGCTGGTTCTGGATGTACACACTGTTCCCCTTGCATGGATGGCTTGCAGTCATTGTTCCTCATGTGAAATTGCAAGCGCTGGTTGCTGGTTCTGCATGTACCTCAACATGCACTTGAACATGCTGACTGTGCATGGATGCCTTGCTGCTGCTTTGCCTGGAACATTGTTCTTGACAGCTGTCCAGTGACTGCTGACTCTCTGTGTGTTGTGCATGCCCTTGGCTTGGTGGCTTGCTGCTGCTTGGCCTGGCAGCATGGTGCTCTTGGTCATTTTCTGCCTGTGGAATCACATGAAGCTCAATCTGCTTCCCTGGCTGCGATGGTCGGCTGGGATTCCGTCTTGGGCAGCAACGACAGCACAGTATGAGGAATGAGAAAGCCTTGACTACAGCTTGACGAAAGTCAGTGTTTGTGGCACTGTAGACTAAGGAATTAATTGAGCTATTGATCAGTTGCAAAATTATAATGCATGTACCCAGAATATGAATTGTCTCCCCAAGTTCCAGATAGGCAACAATCTGAGCAGTTGAAGTTAACTTGGATGCAAGTGCATGTATTATCATAATTGCAGCTACAGTGTACAGTGAGTTCAGAATGAAGAAAACAGCAGTGTTCATGATAACCATGCAGAGGACCTTGCCTGCTCGCTTGGGACGGTTCGGAAACAGGGCTGATTGCTTGCACACTTTCAGTACTACATAGATGTACAAAGCAAGAGTTGCTATCAAAGAGGCAATGTTGATAATGGAAAGAATCCCAAGGTAGACTTTAGAGAAGACATCATCTGTTAATGGTAAGAAAATCAGAATCACACCAACAATAATTGTTGGCACCCAGAGTCCTGCTGATATCTTTGCTGCCCGAGATTTAGAGGCTTTTTCCTTGAATGTCAGAGGATTGCGTACTGCCGAGAATCTCTCAGCTGCTATGGTAACCACAAAGAAATTAGAAGTAGCAAGGAACGTGTATAGGGCACTTGATGTTGCCTTGTTGACCAATAAGCTGGACTCTATAGGTGGAAACACTGCAAATATGAAGTGAGTCATAAGTAGGAGGGAGTCAGCCACAGCCAGATTGGATAAGTAGATGTTGATGATTGTACGCATGGACTTCACTCGAATGACTGTGAAGAGAAAGATAAAGTTTAAGCAGAGGCCAATTGGTGCAATGATTTCAGCACCTAACCATTTCATTTGATTAGTTCTTTCTTCACTCATGTAAAAGTTCTCAAGATGCTTTTCAACTTCAGTTTTCCACCCAGTTGATGGAGTGGAGCTGTTTTGGTAGCCATCACCCATAGTTCATGCACAATGTAGCATTGAGCTCTGTGAGCCACATGTTGTTCAGATGCAGCAAAGAATATTCTTCTCTATTTCAAGATCACTCCAGATTTATACTTACAGGGATTGTAAGACCTTGAGCAAAGTGGAATTGAAACAGAAAGTTTCTTGTTCTTTTCCTTCCCCCCCCACATTTCTGTCCGATTTTAATGCATGTGACTATCTTGTGGTATCAGTTCCTGTAACCAAAGCAGATGCATGTAAGTCAGTTTCACTACTTGCACTGACATGAAATCTGAGAATTGAATTTGTTTCAGTTTTAACTGGAGGTTCGCGTTTGTTGTTACAAACGCAGAGTGGTTGGGTAGACAACTATTTCATTATAGCCTACATTGTCCAGTAAAGTTATGAATATGTTTATGTTAGAGCAAAGATTCTCGCACTTTAATCTTTCCAGAGCAACCAATATATTTTGCACAAAAAATGCATCTATTAGCAGATGATAAATTTCAGTATACATTTTAGGAACACGCACAAGTTATTTTTGGCTTGATAATGCATTAGTTAAAAATGGGAAGTGAATTCTCATATAGTTCGGAGTGGATAAATGTTAATTGTGAAGTTAAATAACGTCACAGTATTTGGACGCAAAAGGAGAACATTGTAATGGATATCGTTATTTGGGCTACGAAAATGTAGCCTTATGGTCTGATGGATAGGGGTAATATTTATGAGGCACGTTGTGACTTTAGTGTGAAGTTTTATTATAAGGGTGGCTGTGTAGTTACAGGCCTTGTTCCTATAAGAAAAGGAAAAATCAAGTTATTGAACTCACAAACTCAAGTTAGGATGTTTAAAACCCACATGACTGTCATGAAAAGAGGGCAGGGTTTTGATTTTTTGATGGAAATTTTGGAGTAAAATGACAATGAAGACAACAAACCCCAAAACACCAAAATAGCGATAGCGATCACCCCGATACACCGTGAGTGTGCACAAAACGTTGATTTCAATGGCATCAACTGAAAAAAATATGTAAAAAAAACTGCATTTTCTACCAAAAGATACTGTTCAAATTAACAAAATATGTTGTCATTCGAATTGAAACAAATCTTCTTTAGGTTGCAGAAGTCATTTTGAAATGACCAAAATACTCTTGCCTCTAAAGCCCGTTTTAGACATCGTGCTACTGCTGCGTCGAACTTAATTATTTATGAGTGTGGCATTAGCTCATCTACAGCGCATCAGTGCTCTAAATGCCGAACCTAATAGTTGAAATTGAATGAACCTGGAGTAACTGGCCAGGTTACAGCAGTTCGAGCAGTTCAATGAACATTCAAACTGTTTGCGCCAATTTCACTTAATGTGATGCGGACACAAGGGAGGACATTAAACGTTTGCCCAACTTCGAATTGAATTGACTTGCACGGCTACGGCTCGGTGTTTAGAACAGTGCTGTGGCACTGACTCTCTGAATGACGACAGCTCGGCAGCCCTGTTGAGCCAAAGGATGGTGCCGTGCCGAACTCAATTTACCTAGACATATATCTAAATGCTGTACTATCACCATCCCAAATTAAAAACGGGCAAATTAATTGTGTTTGGCACAGCTGGAGCACGGCGTCTAGAACAGGCCTTAGGCTAGGTGCACACACTTCCAAATCTGTTTCAAAAGCACTTAAAAAGTATATTTACAGTGGAAAATGCCACGCCATATGTTAATACATGTAGTGGCAATACATGTATATATTCACACAGAAAAAAAAGAAGAAACTTGCTCATTAAACATGCAACCATGTACACAAAACCTCATTCAACTAACAATTACAATAATTTCTGAACCACTTGCACATCCATTGAATGAGTTCCCAGCTGTTCCCTTTACTGATAGTTGGTTGCGATCTACTCTGGGCCTGCACATTACTGATGTCATGATTTGTACATGTATTGGCAATCTCGAAAGGAATTTTCATTTTCAATGCAGCATATATATTATACTGTTCATGTTTCTTGACATCAAATGTACTTGGTATTCCACTGAAGAAGGTGCATGAAAAAGAGAAGCCTTCAAACCACTCTACAGTTTGAACTCTACACAGCTAGCTCAAGGCACACTGACTGTGCATACTGCCCAATTTACACGGATGATTTCCACTCATCAGTTACCAGAGAACATTGTTCTTGACAACTTTCAAATGGTGGACTCCCTTCTGGTTCTGGATGTGCATACTGCTGCCCTTGTGCTGATGGCTCGGTGCCAGTCAGCCCAGGACATTGTTCCTGAGTACTTGCAAGTGACTGCTGGCTCTCTGCTGGTTCTGGATGTACACACTGTTCCCCTTGCATGGATGGCTTGCAGTCATTGTTCCTCATGTGAAATTGCAAGCGCTGGTTGCTGGTTCT